GAAAGCTAAACTACTTTGTTTGGCCTTCCAAAAGAGGACACGACTAGAAATCAGTGGTTAAGTTGTATTTACAACACTGTTCCAGAATCTCCGATCACAAATGCAGACATGGTTTTATGTTTACACAGCATGATACGCAACTCAACGTGTAAAAAGACAGTATAAGTCATTATAATCAGTAATTATGTCCCCACTGGATGCAACAAATGCCTAGTTTTACTGGTTTTGTCTCGTCGCGCATCACAGGCGCACGCGCATAACCGGCGCACAGGCGCTCGTCGCACACACGGCATCACAGTATGGTGAGGGGCGTAACATTTCCGTCACACGCTTGAGGTATTCGGCCAATCACAACACACTGGATAGCTGGCCAATCAGAGCACACCTCGCTTTTCAGACCGATGAGCTTTGTAAAAATCGACGCGTTTCAGAAAGGCGGGGCATAGAGGAGAAACAATAATGTACAGTATGTGGAAAATAATGTTTTTTTGAACCTTAAACCACATAAACACATTTCATTACACCAAATACACAAAATAATGTTCTTTTTAGCAACATCATATGACCCCTTTAAGATCCGAAAAGGAAAATCTGATTGACAGTTTCTGTCTCCCTAACATGAAACTGTTGTGTTTTGCAGAATCCCTTGATAAGTGGGAGAGGTTGACTGTGGCCGATGCCCTGGAGCCTGTGCAGTTTGAAGATGGAGAGAAGATCGTAGTGCAAGGAGAACCAGGAGATGATTTCTTCATCATTACAGAGGTGTGTGTATGTGGAAATCTCCATGTTTATTCACTTCTGAAGAACAAATACTACCTTTTTGGTATCCACAATAACAGTCTTTTAAGTACTTAAAGGAGAATCGTTGGTTCCTCCCAAGGGGAGTTTGGTCCTGATACTTTCTAATGTTGCTGATGCACTAGAGCTCACAAGAGCTTTTACTGCAATGCAATCTGACAATCCCCAATGTTAGAAATGTTTTGAATTAGGATCAATATCATGAAGCTTAAACTTGTAATTGAATTGTGTGAATATTGAATCGTGACATTGTGAGGTAGTTTTTGCGATACTATATATTGAATATATTGTGCATGTTCTGCTTGTTCTCTCTGTCCTCTGTTGCGTTAGCTGACACTCTGGCTTTGTGCTGTCAACACCAAAGAGCACATTTACATTTCTGAAAGCCCTCGTGGTGCTGATTCAGCATTCTTCTCATTCTCTGCCAGATCTTTGAACAATATTTTGATTAACTCCACATTTATGAAGATGTTGTGAAGTCTGGAGGGGGCTCTTTTTCCCGTCCGTGTCTGTTCTCAGATTTTCAGAGCCTTTCTCTTTTTTCCTTCTCATTCTCTCCTCAATATAATCAGGCTGTAGATAATCAGGCTTAAGTAGAGCTCTAAACCTTCATTTGGCTGCCTCTTGTTCCTGACCTGTGCTCCCATGAATCCACCTGTTTATTGCTTGTTT